TATTCTAAGTGGGTCACCCAGTTTGTACAAACATATGAACTGACTTAACACTTCCAGAAGTATAGAGTGGAAAATGAGTTTAATTATGGGACTGGCCAGCTTATAGAACAACAGTTTTACCAACTTGTTTTACAGCATATCATTACTGCATACATAATCTGATCAATCTACATTCATAGATACCTACTATCAGTGTGCACTGACTTTGATTGTTCTTTTCAAATTCTTTGTATTTACTAGGTGAACCTGTAAGAGAATTCTAAAATGCTTTCTCCAAAAGGATTTGGAATTTTCTTGTAGGCCTGTCTTTCTGAGCACACGAAGTGTGTGCCTCAAGCTTACTCCCCAGTTGTCCTGATATCCAAGGACAACACAGAACAACTCCCCAGGATGACAGGACACACCTTTCCTTATTTGTACTGTTCTAAGTTCCAAGCTCCCCATTTGAGAATATGCTAACGCTATTTAACTTTTGCTCACCTTGGTGTAAATTCTAATTAGATGGCCCTTTATCACATGAATCATGAAAAATTTCCAAAACCCATTAAATGCCAACGTTGTAAATTTTATTTTTAACCAAGTAATTTTTAGCTTCAAAATATCCATAATTGACAGAATAAGACATTAGGCATGAAATGAGAATATAAAACCCATGTTTGCAGAGAAACAAAAATAGCGCTTTAGTCCATCAAGATGACTGATCACAAATGAAGTGCTGTTCCAAACATTGACTTCTTTTTTGTCCTTTGAACACAAACAGTTCAAGTGGTTTTTAAAAAAGATTTTCATTTGTAAACAACATGAGTCAAAAATGGGCAATGAGATAATCTAAATACTACAAAGGATAATTTTAAAACACTAGATAAAACACCATATTAAAAACATAGAAATCAGGGTTCACTTTGGTCTCTAGTATGGTTAGAGTTGTTAATACCAAAAAAGCAAAACACATTAATTAAAGACAGCTTGGTGATAGGTGTCAGTGGTGGATAGATGGGAATGATTTAAGAGGTAGTCAACACAATCATTTTTAAGCTGGTAACTCTCACAAGGGTTAAGCCACAGGTGATTAAATATCGTAATACTTTCTCACATTACAGTACTTTACCATAACTTTGTAGCTCTGTTCCAAGCATAACATTTAACAATGAGTCATATGTCGACCTCTAACTGAACAACTAGGACACAGATCTCACAACCACCACATCTTAAAGAGGCTGCTGACAGTTATGTAAGACAGAATTTGATGCTTTCAACAAGTTGTTCTTTTCTAAAACAAATAAATCTCATTAAGACATCTAGAAAATTAAAGTCAGTGCAGCTGCACTTGTACTTTCCTGAATTTTATAACCAAAGGGGAAACACACACATATATTTTATGATAAACATTTCTTAAGCGAAAACAGATAAATTAACTTAAATTAACTTTAAGACTTAATGAGATTTCCCATGTCCTGTATAATTCATCTTACAGTGAATGTTACAAAGTCTATTAACACTTATGGGCTTCTATTCACAAACTAAATACAACCAGCAGTAACTTGGGGCTGCATTGGTGCAAAATAAAACTGAACCAGAATACAAAAAAATTATTGGCAATAAAAAATCCTCTATTTGGAGGTGGACTGATGCTAATAACCTGATGTTTTTCGATCTTTTTCTTTACATTGCACGCTAAACTTCCAAGTTATAAGCAGATAAAAATCTTTCTAAATCTTTCAATTGTAAAAATACATCCAAACATTAGAAATGCAGGTATAAAAATGTTTCCACTACAATCTGCCATTAGCAAGTTAATTAGCTCAGAGGGCTAGGAGACTGGGAGATGCATCTTTCTTAAGAATTACATTTGTGTTGACATTAGGGCAATTCACAGACCTAATGCCCCACCATCAGTAACTCCTGCAAACTGGTGCAGTAACTCCTGCATACAGATCCTTTCCCCTTAGTAACTAGGAATGGCATTGCACTTTGAAGTTCACTCCTTGGCAAGTCAGTTCTAGATAGTTACATGCCTAGGGTTATAATGCTGCACCATGCATGTCTTTTGCTGCAACAAATACATGTAAATGCATGGGACTGGTATCTCTTATACTGCCCAGCAAAGTACACCCAAACATTAATCCCTCTTTCTGCTCTCTCTTCCCACCCCCCACCTCTGGGCAAAGCAGCTATTTCCAAGAATGCTTCTGTGTTTTGTTTTGCTTAAGTTGAAGGGTGCCCATAATTCTTTAAATTAAATACATGATAACTTTAAGGAAACATGTAGAGACTTTGCTAACTAAATGAGATGCTTTGTTATTCACAAGTGTTTGTCAGAAACATCCAGTTATGAATTGCTATCTATGATACTGATCGAAAAAGGTGTGTACCAGAGAATTATCAGCCAACTGTAAGGCCGGAGCAGCATTAAGGTGTGCTACGAATCAACAATGAGGTAGCGTTCTGCTGTAAACAGAATGGTATTTCATTCATGTAAATGAACAATGTGCTCACATCAGTGATAGTCACATCTGTAAGGAGTTGAGGAATTCTATTTTAGAGGACTTTTCACATGAAATGAAAATAGAAGTGATACCTGATATTCAAGATCGTGGTCTATGTCAAACACAGAGGTAGTTACCAACATCAAGTACATGTACTTACATAAAGGTCTAAGTTATTTGGCTTGTTTTGAGTAAGCAGGACTGTAGCCTAGTCTGTAAAGAAACAACATTATATGGTATGGTATGTTCCCTGAGCAAAGTTCTTTGTCCTGAGTATGTTATGAAATAGTGACAATATTCTCATATAAAAAATAAACCCCAGCTTTTAACCATAAGATAGGTTTGGTTTGTGCTCTTAGTGGTTCAGTCTCGTTAGATGCTGAAAAAGATGTCAAATTGTACCCATAAGGTCCACAGTTCAAGTGTTTCTGTTTTGATTTTTTTTTTTTACCATGATCTCAAGCTCTGAACTTTTAGATGTAAATAGGGAATGTCCAATTTTCAAGTCCATAATTTCCTATTTCTATAAAGTCAAGGAACTTTGGTTTGTATTTTCAAAGTGACGTATCATATTTTGCATTTTTATTGTTAAACTGCTTATTATACGTGCTAAAAATTAAGTAATGCCACTTTGATTTGTCTACATAATTTAAATAAGCTTGAAATCCTCACATAAGGCAAGGAAGTATTTCTCTACAGCTACCACATTCAATATCGTCAAAAGTAAGCTTTGCATCACAGAACACGGATATTTCAGTATATACCGTGGAGATTCTCACAAGCACTGTCTAGAAATGCAAGCTGAGTTGTAAAGGACTGGGAGCCAGCCTGAGGCAGTTTCTTCTTTTGGTGGCTTGCTGAAAGTAACAATTCCAGTCTCCCATGACAGGACACAAGAGGGAGCAGGAACTATGCAGCAGAATGTTTGAGTCATGCTATTTTCTTCTTTTAGTTAGCTGAACTTAACACCAACAGACCCATATTATTTATTGCCAATATTAAGCATTAATCAGTTGTTACCTTCTTGGAGATGTTTCAGAGATTTGCCTTTAACATCTAGAAAAAGGATGATGCCAAAATTTATTTTTCGTGACGGAGGCCTAATGGGACCAACACTGTGGTTGGTCCCCAGTCAGTCTGTTGTTACAACTGAGAGCTAAACTGAAGAGACTCTCATCCTCAGCACTGAATGTTCACCCTGAATTCTCCATGCAGTTAAGTACCTTCAGTGTAAGTACTGAAGGTAACTGCTATGACATTAATGTTAGTGTACAAGAAATTTCTAGAAATGGGGTGGGGAGGTTTTGGTATTTCTGCCCCAAGGTTGTCACTTTGGTAGCCTGCCACCAAACACTATACTTTTTAGTATTATTCATAGGCCATATCTATTGGGCAATTATGAGCATCCACTTAATTTTCATTCTAAACCCCAATATATTACTCAATTCTGTGGTGCTTTTGTTTGTTTTATAAACAAGTTAGAGAGCCTCTAGAGGGAATAAAAACAGCCACCAAAAGATTGGAGTTTTCTTCTAAGGTCTTCAGTAGTAAATAGGGAGGGCTCCTGCTCAAAGTGATGGTTAAAGACTGACTTAAGTGAAGGAAGGGAAGCTGCTGTTGCAACAATCCCTTAAAAAAAACCTCAGAACACATAAATCATTACAATGAGCAGGTATCAAAATACCACTGAAAATAATCAAGTCACTACATTTACACATTACCCTCCCCTTCATTTCTTAATAGGCATGTAATTTACAATCAAACATAAAATTAAAAACATTGAAATATCGGCACAGAAATCACACATTCATTGTCTTTTCTAGAGGTATGTATTCCAGAATCAAAAAAGCTTATGGCAGTCAGAAGTATATGGAGTTAAGATACTACCTTCAAATAGAAGAAAAGAAAACAAAAATAAAAATGCTCCATATGTATCAAGAAAAAGAGGCAATCCCAGACTTGGGAGAAACTGGGAATCTTAAAAAACCTTTAGTACCATATGATTGGCAGCTCTGAGATCTGAAGTATCCTTTGGTTCTCACAAAAGGTAACAGTCATGTTTTTATTTTTATATATTATAAAAACAGTTATTTTAAGAAAAACTCCAGGGGTTATTTTTTAAACTATCTTAAATGCTTCACATGGATTTTCAATTATTGGAGATGTCCAATTATATGAGGGAGGATGTGTGCTTATTTCTATACACACATATATAAAGACAAAAATCTCTATATATGTCTGCACTCCTTTGTAAAAATCCTCATACACACACAGAGATTCAGACTACTCTCCCCCTCTCACACATGCTCATAGTATCTCATTCTATGAATTATATAAACATGACACCCTGCTCAAAAGTAATTTTCTTAGAGTGATTTGTCTTTAAAAAAAATTCACAGTTCCTCAACAGTAGTTAAAATCCCAGGTCAGCTGCTATCTGTGGAATACTGTTCCCCTGTACTTGGATGAGGTAGACTTCCCAACTGGGTGGAGAAAATGAGACATTAACAAGGATTATGTCTTTTTCCTTTTTTGAACTGAAGGCCCCTTTTTGTTTTGCTCTTCTGGTGCTGCAGATGCCTTCACAAAGAAAGCTTCTTGAGGTGACCTGCCTGACCGCTCTGAGATCTGTGACCTGGCCTCCCGAGGAAATGATGGTGATGGGCAGCCATGCCCTCCTCCCACTTCTGAAGGGGAAGTAGAAGCGCACGGCTGGGACTCTGCTTCCTGTCTTCCCTGAGAACTGGTGGGCAGCTGTGCAACAGTTTTATGTGGGCAGTTTGCCACCATGTGCATGATACTCTGACAGTAATGGCACTTCTTTGGCTGAGGAGGTAGACTACATTCCTTAGCATGATGGTCAAGGCCGCCACAGTTGTAGCATCTGCAAGCAAGAATGAGGAAAGTATCTTAGAAGTAGGTAGCATGTATCATTTAAAGTTTTTTAAAATGATAACTTAATAGTTACTATTTAAATATGTAAAATAACAGTTTATATAAGAATGCAGATCATTTTTAATTACCAAATATACAAACTGACAATGAAATCAGCCTAATGTGCCTTCTTAGAAGTATATGATGTTACTGATACTAAGTTATATTGATTGCTTTAAGGAGGAGCATCATCAAAATGTGCCACAGCTTTATAAAATTAGTTGTTAGCCACAATAGTCAGTGAAAAACAACAGTACCAGAACATACAAGAACGATCATTTGTGACCTGTTCAAACTACTCCAGGAATGGGGGGAGGAGGCAAAGAAGAATGATGGGAGGGGGTGAATTTAACTATGATATATTATAAGAACTTTTATAAATGTAAACGTCACAATGTACCCCCAGCACAACAATCACAAAAAAAAATTTCCATGAAGAAGCAACTCATTTAAATTTGACAGATTATTTTAAACAACAGTTTTGTCCAATAGAGGGCAGTCAATGGTCAAGAACAACTAAAATACCCCAACAAGCTGTCTTTAAAAATGAGCCTATAAAAACACAGCTGTTTGCCATGATATGAAATGGCAATTTGCTCAGTAATTGGTAAAATTATAGACCAAATTAAATTTTATGAGTTTAACAATTACTTGAGTATTAATTGTTCTGTGAAAATCAATTGAACTAGAATTTTTCCCTTTGTACAAAATTAAGTAATGCAGTGAAATGTGGTAAGATATCTACTCATAAAGTCAGAATGATGTCCGTCAAGTTACTAAGTAACTTTAGAGCAATATAGTAATTGTCTGACCCAGATCAGTGCCATAAAAAACACCCCCAAATTAATAAAGGCTGATACTAGTTCAGTGATTAGATAAATTTCCTTTCTTTTCTTTCTGTACAAATTAGTTTTCCCTTAGGGTGAATTCTCCTAAATTGAAGCAAATACAAATCCACCCTGAAATTAATATTTGAATGCATACTGGGGACATGGCTTTGTACTAGATATTTGAAAATTTAAAACTTAGCTTCTAAAGGATGAGCAAGGAAATTATTTAGAAGATATAATTGCTTGATTTCAATCAGAATTTTTCTTTTAAAATTTAATATTAAAACAATGAAAAAACGTAAAGTGGGGAAACAGAAAACTTTACATTTACCAAGGTTTTAACTTGATTCTTGCATATAGAATTTGCTTACTGATTTGTTTCCAAATGAAATATTTTAACAGTTTTTTATTTTAAATTCATTTTCCAAATTATATTTATGATTCCCTGATTCTCATTAGGGAGCACAAATAACAATAGGTCATAATGTTTAAAAAATAGCAAAAAAATGTAGTAACTGTGAGAATTAGTTTAAGACCATAATGACAACAAAAATTAAAATGTAAGTACTTATACTTACAAGTGTGTGACAGAACATCAAGCTTACTAACTCAATAGTACTTTATATTTGAAAGACAAACTACTAAACTACTCCTAACCTAATAAGCAGTATATGTAGGATACTTACTACTATCTTCTTGGATCAGCTAAGCAAGACAAATTTTTTCAATTGGCAAAAACAAACAAGCACACAAAAACAAAAACAAAAAAGCACCAGGGTGACTACTGTCTGTCTGCCTCTCTAGTTATCAATAATATCTTACAGATTTTAGAATAACAGAGTCACAAGATGGGCTTCTATTCTTTGCAGTAACTGACAGGTATTTATCTTTACAGACTGCATCATATTTTCAAAAATCAAAAGGAAAACCCAAAAAATCCAGTGTTCTAATAAAATTGTTTATTGCACAATATATACCATAATGATTAATAAAACACTGTAATGCAGGTTCAATAGTTTTGGCCATGTGTTCTAAGAGATGGCACAAAGTTATAGAATTATAAAAATTATTGACTAATGCTTGAAATTTAAGTCTACAAAATAATATGCTCAAAAATGGTATCTTTGAAAAATATGATACTACTTATATTGTTTTCCCACATAGTTCTCTTCTATAACAGATAAGTGGGTTCTTAAATTAAGTTTTCCCATCTGTAAAATATGTTCTTTAGAATTAAATTCACTTCCTGAGGATAGCATTGGATATCATTTTCGAAGAGAGACAAATAGGTGGAAGGCTTCAGTAATGGAGCTGGCTCTCCTGTGGACACATCAGTTTTTATCAGTCACTGTGGGATGTGCTGCATTATTCAATTCAGGGAACCATTCTGCCCACTCATGGACCAATGGCCTGATGTCAAAATTCTACTGTCACAAGCGAGGTCTTGATCACTTTGTGAATTTAGCATTACACTTGGTTGTAAAAGGGTATTATACAATTTTGGTTTCCTTCCATTTTGATCTGCATAGTTAATTCACTCCCTTCTACACTGAAAAGATTGCATTCAGTGATTATGTGCTTAGCCTTAAAAAGGGGGAGGAGTGGTATTTATCTTCTTCTATTTAATCATTCACTGTCAATCACTCGTACTAAGAGTGCAGATCACACCCCATTATGAAGGAAGAAACCTCTTCCTTCTCAAGGGACTAATACCAAAATGGAAATGTCCAGCTACCTTTTAACTCATAAACAATACCATAGCCACATACTTCATACATGCTTAACACGTGTCAAGTTCTGTTTGTTCACATTCCACACTTCTCCCAATCGATTTGTTTTTGTGAGTAAGAATAAACTTTACATTGTGATGTGAGCATAAAAATGACAGGTGTGCCCAAGTATAGCTACATGCTTAAGAAATATAAGAATGTATAAGATGATACAAAGAAAACTGTAATGCTTTACTATACACTCCCATAGCCCAACACAGAAAATTATCTGCTTGCCTAGTATGTGTGAAGCCCTGGAATCAATTTCTGGGTGCTATTAAAGGGGATGGGGGGAAGAGGAGGTGGAGGAAGAGATAAAATGACACAAACTATGCAATTTCACATATTAAATGTAAAGGTAAAACAAAATTTTATCACACTCTATAAGTATTATTTATTTTAGAAGCTTTTAAAGATGGACGATAAACAATCAAACTGACTCAACTGTTAAAGACTACCAAAATAAGATTATTTAAACTTTTAAATGAAAGGAGAATGACTCCAGTAGATGGCTGAATAAATGAAAATAAACACCTACATTAGTTAGTAAGTTAATAAAAAAAAATCTAAATTTCTGAGAATTCCATTTTTTAAAAATGAAAACTTTGATTGGAAATCAGAATTTAGATCTTCATATGACCCTTAGAAAACCACCTGTTTTGATCTAAACAAGAGAGTAAATAAATTATGTTTTCAAATAATGTCAGCAATAATGGCTAAAACTAAGCCCAACTGAGGATCACTAGATTTAAATATGTGTGGACATTATTTTTTAAATAAGATAGTTCAGTGTCTTAAATAGCTTCATCAATTGTATGTTGAACCTTGATTTCAAATGTGACTTAAAAACTTTAGGGAGAGAAGTAATACCTTGAAGAGACAGATGTGCTTGTCTAAAAGTATAATGGAAAAAAAATGTACATGGAGTGCGTCTTAGTGTTTGAAAGTGTTAAGAATTATGGAAGTTCAAATTAATTTCTGAGGGTCTGGTGAGACACTTGAAGGCAGCAATGCAGTGATCTGTAAGTTTCAAGAGAGACTGAAGGAAGAGCAAGGCAACATGAGTGAGAGAGAGTACAGTAGGAAACGAAGCTCATGCTTAGGGTAGGAAGATGTAAATACAGAGAATAGATAAAAATCCTTAGAAAAGAAAGATGAGAAAAGGACCAATAAAGTTTCCAAATGGGAGCCAGAAGGACTCAAGAGAAGTCATAGACTGGAAATAGTTTCAGGAACCAAATAGTAGAAAAGATAACTTTCTGAAGAGATTGTTTATCATTTCTAACCTTGAAATAGTGCAACTAAAACCCAGAAACCAGGGATTGGGTGTGTAGATTAGCACACATGAGGTCCTGAGTTCCATTTCCAACATGTGCATGCACACACAATCCAGAAATTATACTAATAACATTCCTCAGCTCTATAGTTTTTGATTCTAATGTCTGAACACATGGCTTCTAATTTAATTATGTATCAATCAACCCATCACATGGGAATGTTAGACTCCAGCCTAGTGGTAATGGGCAGTAGGTGAAATAAAATGTTTTCAGAGAACCCAAGAGAACTGAAAGGGAAAGGACCCAGAGTGTATCTTTTGATGGGAACAGTCTACCCACCCTGCACCTCCTGAGGGCAAGAGATGTAAACTGAGATCAATCTACCACAAGTTGACCCCATTTTATTCTGATGGCTTCTAACAATCTAAATATACGTGAGGGTATGGTTTATTCTCTTCACAGGATCTGCCATAAAATAACCAGAGGAGAGGTAGAAAACTGATGAATCACAGAACTACAGAGGTTCTTCATCAGTGCATACATTTTCTGACTTCTATCAAAGCAATTATATTTTAATGAATTTGCTTCTTTTACTATCCAAATTCCTAAGACTGTAAGCCAATTAAACAATAAAACATTTGAATAAATTTTATATATTCTTCCTAAAGAAGTAGTAAAAATATTGAATTTTCAAAACTATGTTAATGATAGTATTTTCTTTTTAAGTTTCCTAAAAAACAAATAAACCTTTAACACCAGAAAAATTTCTATCTTCGCAATACAGAATTTAGCATTGTCCTTCTCCATTACCTTAATCCAGGTTATAATGGAATAATCTGTACACAGGAGGGTTTTATATACTTATATACTATTAAGGAGATACTAACATTCTGTTCCTGACATAGTGTTAGAGACTTTTAATGTATTATATAAAATTTAATCTTTCTCCAAATTCTATGAAGTGGGTACTACAATACCTACATTGTATTGATAATAAATTAAAATTTAGAGGATTTACCTCTGATAGAAATAATATCTTTCACTTCCATTATATAAAATGTTATAGCCAACAAT